CCAAGAAGCTGATGACCGTGGTTACCTCCAGAGTTTTGGGTACCAGGAAGACAGGGAAAGTGGGAGACTTTTCACTTCACAACTTTTTAGAACTTTTGAATTTTAAATTATTTAGATATATTACCTATGGATAAAATAATGCACATTCATCTAATGTAGTTGGGAAAACAGAAGCTGATAATAAAAAAGATAAACTTATCAATGCAGTTACTTAGCTCATATCCAAAGCCCAGTGGTTGTACATCTGTTAACACGATGCTGACTACTGCAAGAAGTGGTTTTAGGGGGAAGAAAGAAATGAACTGGAGTTAGATTTGGATGGAGTTTATTTAGATGGAGAGATGATAGGAAGATCCTTTCAGAAAGAAGACGGAAGTGACTTTTAATCATGGTTGTATTATACAGACCCAGAAAGACAGGTGCACTGAGATAGATTGTCAAGTGAAAACAGCTAAGTACAGAATGCTGATATTTGCTTCTTTTTTGTTTTTAAAGTTTTATTTATTTATTTCAAAGGCAGAGTCAACACAAAAAGAGAGGCAGAGGGGGAGAGAGAGAGAGAGAGAGAGAGAGAGAGAGAGAGAGAGAATCCATTTGCTGGTTCACTCCTTAAAGGGCCACAATGGCAAGGGCTGGGCCAGACAGAAGCCTTGAGCCAGAAGCCAGGAGCTTCATCCGGGTCACCCATGTGGGTGGCAGGGGCCCAAGGACTTGGGACACCTTCTGCTGCTTTCCCAGGCACATTAGCAGGGAGCTGGATCAGAAGTGGAGCAGCCGAGTCTTGAACTGCAGACAGTGGCTTTACCTGCTATACCACAGCACTGGCCTTAAGGATGGAGGGGAGGAGGAGAAAACTGGGCAGATTTGACTATGTATGCAATGGAAAGTTACACAGGAAACTCACATTAGTTGCCTTAGGGATTGAAGTACTGGGGACTGGGTAAGAAGGAGGTTTGTTCCTTACATATCCTTTAGTACCTTTTGAGTACAAATAGTGTAGATGTGAAATACATTAAAAAATAAGTAATAGTAAAGTTTCAAAAATTAAAGCACAAAGAGAATTATTTTACTTTAACCCAAATGAATATTTACTATTCTTTATTATGAGCTTGGCTCTTCTTCCTGAGTTATTAGGCCCAAATTTATGCATAGCTGTATTTAATTAACATTTGTCTATAAAGGACATTAAATTCATTCATTATAAATTATATATAGTTTCAAAAAGTTAACACTCGGGGCCAGCACTGTGGCGTAGTGAGTAAAGCTGCTGCCTGCAGGGCCGGCATCCCAGCTGCTCCTCTTCTGACCCAACTCTCTGCTTGGCCTGGGAAAGTAGTAGAAGATGGCTCAAGTCCTTGGGCCCCTGCACCAAAGAAGACCTGGAAGAAGCTCCTGGCTCTTGGCTCCTGGCTTCAGATCAGAGTAGCTCCGGCTGTTGTGGCCATTTAGGGAGTGAACCAGCGGATGGAAGACCTCTCTCTCTGTCTCTACCTCTCTGTAACTCTTTCTTTCTTTTTTTTTTCCAAAGGTTTATTTTATTTATTTGAAAAAGTTACAGAGAGAGGTAAAGACAGAGAGAGAGAGATCTTCCATCTGCAGGTTCACTCCCTAGATGGCCACCACAGCCAGAGCTGAGCCAATCTGAAGCCAGGAGCTAGGAGCTTCTTCCAGGTCTCCCACATGGGTGCAGGGCCCAAGCACTTGGGCCATCCTCCACTGCCTTCCCGGACCACAGCAGAGAGCTGGATCAGAAGAGGAGCAGCAGGGGCTAGAACCGGCGTCCATATGGGATGCCGGCGCTTCAGGCCAGGGCTTTAACCCACTGCGCCACATCACCGGCCCCAACTCTGTCTTTCAAATAAAATAAAAAATAAATCTTAAAAAAAGTTAATACCCCTCCTCGAGCCAGAAACGAGGGATAATGTATACTAATCATCTGAAGCTGAGTCTTTAAAGAATGCCTTTAGGGACCAGCACTGGGGCACTGTCGAGCCAGTGCTTGTGAAGCCGCCATCCTGTATGATCTTGGTCTGAGTCCTTTCTGCTCTGCTCCTGATCCAACTCCCTGCTAATGCACCTGGGAAATCAGCAGACGATGGCCCCAGCCACCCACGTGGGAGACCCAGATGGAGTTCCAAGCTCCTGACTTCTGCCTGGTCCAGCCCTGGCCATTGTGGCCATTTGGGGAGTGAATCAGTGGATTGGAGAGCTCTTTCTGTTTTTTCCTCTCTCTCTGTAAGTCTGCCTTTCAAATAAATAAATTCATCTTTAAAAGAAAAAGAATGCCTTTTTACTATTACAGTGATAATTCTTTGAGGTATATTTCTTGCACTTGTACCTGCTTGTTTAAATATCACAACTCTTCTTTTTTCCTTTTACAGGTAAGGAAATATGTTGCTTAAGCCCTATTATTGTCCTCATGTGTAAAATAGAGGTGATAATATTACCTACCTCATAGGGTAGTTTTGAGGAGTAACTGAAGTATTGTATGTCAGTATGTACATATTTATTGTATGTGTGTATTTTTCTCAATGCCTGGCCCATAGCCATGCTCAAGAAGTAACACTCCTACAAGCCTCACATCTATTTCAGGTATGAACACATACACACACTTCTTAATTTTTTTTTATTTTTATTTTTGACAGGCAGAGTGGACAGTGAGAGAGAGAGACAGAGAGAAAGGTCCTCCTTTGCCATTGGTTCATCCTCCAATGGCCACCGCGGCTGGTGCACTGCGCTGATCCGATGGCAGGAGCCAGGTACCTATCCTGGTCTCCCATGGGGTGCAGGGCCCAAGCACCTGGGCCATCTTCCACTGCACTTCCCTGGCCACAGCAGAGAGCTGGCCTGGAAGAGGGGCAACCGGGACAGAATCCGGCACCCCAACCGGGACTAGAACCTGGTGTGCTGGTGCCACAAGGCGGAGGATTAGCCTAGTGAGCTGCGGCGCCGGACACACACTTCTGAAGACATGAAACCAACATAAGGCAATATGAACAAAGAAGCATACAAGAACAAAGGGCTTCACTCTGCATGTTCCTTAATTAGTAAAATAATTTCATCATTAGGGGATGAGGCCCGAGGTGACTTTATGATTCCTGTAGGAAACAGTATTCAGAGATTGAACCCAAGAGTTCTGTGATTTATGTACTCATTGAACATGTGCCTTTATACCTTTGTAAAAAAGGTATAAAGTATGCTTTTGCAGACTCTTTCTTTCTTTCTTCCTTTCTTTTATTCTTTCTTTCTTTCTTTCTTTCTTTCTTTCTTTCAGATTTATTCATTTGTTTGAAAGGTGGAGTTATAGAGAGGCAGAGGCAGAGAGAGAGAGAGAGAGAGAGAGAGAGAGAGAGGTCTTCCATCTACTGGTTCACTTCCCAGTTGGCAGAAACAGCTGGAGCTGCACCTATCCGAAGCCAGGAGCCAGAAACTTCATCTGGGTCTCCCACGTGGGTACAGGGGCTCTAGAACATGAACCATCCTCCACTGCTTTCCCAGGCCATGGTAGAGGGCTGGATCAGAAGTAGAGCAGCTGGGACTCGAACCGGCGTCCATATGGGATGCCGGCACTGCAGGTTGCAGCTTCACCCACTACACCACAGTGCCGGCCCTGCAGACCTTTTCTTACAAGTATATATTTTGTTTCTACTTTTAGGCCAAGGATTTAATTTCTATTATGACTCTAATATTTTCCACTGCACATATTGCACTCTCCCAAAATTGACCCACAAATACTTCTATGATTAATTGTAATATTATTTGACAGTTCCCGGTTAAAGAGTAATTTAGTGCTGGATGCCAGATCCCTCCTGAATGGCTGAAGGTGAGTAAATCCTTGGGATGTGGTGGCACCACTATGTTAGTGTTTTGGCTGGCGAATTGTGGGAAACCTTTGCAAAACTGTACTAAAACATGGCCTCCACTTGGCACTCTGGGGTCTTAGTCTCTCAAAGCTCAGTTTAAAAATGTGTTCTGAGACTGGTGCTGTGGCTTAGCAGGTAAAGCCACCACCTGCAGTGCAGGCGTCCCTATGGGCACCAATTCCAGTCCTGGCTGCTCCACTTCCAATCCAGTTCTCTGCCACGGCCTGGGAAAGCAGTGGAGGATGGCCCAAGTGCTGGGCCCCTGCACCCATGTGGGAGACCTGGAAGAAGCTCCTAGCTCCTGGCTTTGGATCGGCTCAGCTCCAGCCACTGCAGCCATCTGGAGAGTGAACCAGTGGATGGAAGACTTCTCTCTCTCTCTGCTCTCCTTCTCTCTGTGTAACTCTGCCTCTCAAATACATAAATAAACCTTTAAAAAATTGTACGTTGTGTTTCTTGTGTAACTTGACAGAGGAAAGTGCCACATACCTAATCAAATGGTTTTCTATCCCTTTCCTTCTCTAAAACAAATGTTGGCCTTTGGAACTTTATTCTTTTAACTTAACAATATCACTTAGAGCTCCCTCTTTTAAGAGTTTGTATAATTTAACCATGATGTACAAATCATACATGTTCAATAAATTTCAATGTGCATTTATAATTTGATTGATATTATCAATTGCTCTTCATAAAAACCAAATGTATACTCTTTGCATCATGAATGACAGTGATTTTCCTACAGATTTATCAGGTGTCAGTCATTAGATTTTGTTTTTAATTTAAGGATGAAAGATGTTAGTCTTATTAGTAGTGCATTTTCAAATGTTTCAGACTCACTGTTCTATTTTTGGTGGACTATTTCTTCCTACCCATTGTCCATTTTTCAGTTGTGTTCTTTATCTTTTGTCTTGTTGATTTTTAGAAACTTTTTACATATATAGTAAGTTATCTTTATGTCCATGATAAGTTGCAAATACTTTCTCCCAGTTCTGCTTTTTGCTCATAATTTGATAATTGACGTAGAGAATGCTCATAATTTGATAACAAAAATACAGAATGTTCAAAAATTAAGATATTTGTTTTTCTCTCATGGCTTCTAAATTTTTATGCTATATAAAGAGGTCTTTCCTATTTTAACTTTATTTAAGAATATTTTCCCAGCAGCTTCGGAAAGGGGTCAACGAGGCCACCCTCAACAGAGGCATCTCAGAGTTCATTGTGATGGCTGCAGACGCCAAGACCCTGGAGATCATTTTGCATCTCCCGCTGCTGTGTGAGGACAAGAACGTGCCCTACGTGTTTGTGCGCTCCAAGCAGGCCCTGGGCCGGGCCTGTGGGGTCTCGAGGCCTGTCATCGCCTGTTCCGTCGCCATCAAAGAAGGGTCACAACTGAAGCAGCAGATCCAGTCCATTCAGCAATCCATCAAGAGGCTCTTGGTGCCACCGCGCCCTCCACGCCCTCAAGCTGACCCCTCCCTGAGCCGGAGGCCCTGTATCATAGTGTCTGTTAGTGTAGCCTTTTCAGCTGCTTTCTATTATAAAATACCGTAGTATAAAACCTGGTCTCTGCATTTTTGTATTTTGTTTGTTTATGGGGTTGTTTCTCCCCATCTCCCTGCCATCCTGTTTTCCCCCTTGTGAATAATGCAGTGAGGTGGCCCTCAGAGGCCGGAGGTGCAGGAGAGCCACGCTGAGCTGAGAGGCAGATCTGGTTCCTTTCAGGCTTTGACCTCCTGCTGTGTGCGGGGGGTCCTGGGAGTGAACACTGGCCACCTTGTGTCCTTGTGCCTGGCATACGGAATCCTTCTGTACCTGTTAACTTGAGTGAGAAGCTTCCTTTGCTCTCTAGGGGATTGGGTATGACTGGGAAGGAAGCATGGATTCTCTGAGGTTAGGCTTATGTCCAGGCACTGTATGCTCATGTACCCCTGGTGTTTGCTTTTGGTGTGACATGTGTCCTCAACCCTGAGGGTGGCATGGGACTCGATGCAGCTGGCTGAATGAGACAAGGTCTTTGACCTAGGACTTGAAGGAGTCAGGAGTGGCAGAGGGTCAGCTGGTGCTGGAATGAAGGATTCTGGGAAAGTCATGGAGGCGTGGCTGGAAGCCGCAGTGCAGCTGGTGGAATCCAAGGAAACATCCTCTCTGAATGGCGCCATCTTCAGTGGACACTGGGCACTGGCTGAGAGCTCTCCTGCCACAGTGGGTCATGGATTCTTTATCATGACAGTGCTAATATGTCATTCATTGTGAGATCTTAATAAAAATATATTCATATTTCCAATTAAAAAAAGAATATTTTACCAGTATTTTTTCTGTCTACTTTTAATAGGGTCTATCATTTCCAATGTTGTAAGACAAATTCAATATTATTCTTTTATTGTGACAATATTTGTACCTTCCTGCTTTTGTCTATTATTAGACTGATTACATTATCAGTGGGTATTATAAGAACACAAATCAGGGGATGGTGCTGTGGCATAGTAGGCAAAGCTGCCAACTGCAGCGCTGACATCCCATATGGGTGCTGGTTCAAGTCCTGGATACTCCACTTCCAATCCAGTTCCCTGCTAAGTGGCTGGAACAGCAGCAGAAGATGGGCCCTGCACCCATGTGGGAGACCAGGAAGAAGCTCTTGGCTTCTGGCTTCAGATCCGCCCAGCTCCAGCTGTTGCAGCCATTTAGGGAGTGAACCAGTGGATGAAAGATTTCTCTCTCTTTCTCTCTCTTTCTTTCTCTCTCTCTCTCTCTGCCTCTGCCTCTCTGTAATTCTGCCTTTCAAATAAATAAATAAATCTTTTAAAAAAGGAAAAATAGGGGCCAGTGCCAAGGCCCAGCCAGTTAATGCCCTGGCCTGAAGCACCGGCATCCCATATAGGCGCCAATTCTAGTCCCGGCTGCTCCTCTTCTAATCCAGCTCTCTGCTATGGCCTGGGGAAGCAGTAGAAGATGACCCAAGTCCTTGGGCCCCTGCACCCATGTGGTAGACTCGGAAGAAGATCCTGTCTCCTGGCTTAGATAGGCACAGCTCCGGCCATTGCAGCCATCTGGGGAGTGAACCAGTGGATGGAAGACCTTTCTCTGTCTCTACCTCACTCTGTAACTCTGTCTTTCAAATAAATACAATACATCTTTAAAAAAAGAAAAAGGAAGAATAATACACCTCAATTTGGCTTCATGAACAGTATCTTCAAACAAAATATAAACAATTCAGCATTTAACAAAAATATACCAAATATTTAGCCCCATACACAAAGTCCTTTTAAAAAATGTTTACAAGGTTATCTATGTACCTGATTAGAAATTGAAAAGATCTTACAGGTCCCATCACCAGAATCTCACAACATGTAGCCCTTTCAAAGCTATGCATACTAATTTGGTATTATTATTTGAAGTTTGCTGTTTCAGTGGGTGCTATATTTTAAACCTAATCATAGAATTTGGATGGTTTAGAAGGAAGGAAAATGATATTTAGCAGTTATTTTGTAAGCTTATTGGCTTTTTCTCTAGCAATATATTTGTATATGCTTGTGGGATTGGATGGGAAAATGGTGGAATACAAATAAGAGACTGCTTAAATATCATTCTCATCTCTCTACATTTCATTTACAGGATTAAGAAATGGCAGAGGATCTCTTATTTTTCAAACCCTTAATTCCCTATTTTAGGTCTTCCTGTCTCTCCATCGCTTTATGAAGCATATTTTGAATTGAGATGCTAAAGGCAGCATAGACAACTTCAAGAGTGAATTGAAATGATAGTTTTTGACCCTACAGGCTGACCTAGTTCTGAATGAGCAAATTGGAGAGATTTGGTCCTCTTTACATTAGGAACACTGTGATTTGAATATTACATCCTTGAATGCGTTCTCCTGTGGGTTCACATCCCCATTTTCAGTGCAAAAGCATTATTTTTGAAGATGCATTTGCTGGAAGCAGCCAGCAACTCTTGTTCTTTTTGTAGGCATGTCATCCACTTTGGTAGTGCTTAAAATAAAGTACTCAGATAGAAGGTAAGTTGAAACAGACAACAAGCAATATAATACAAAATGTTATGAGTAAAGTGTGTTACTCAGATCCTTCTAAAATACATTTCTCTCTTTATTTTGAAGGCCACGGTATAGGGAACTTGGCTAATGGAACTAGTCTCTCCCTTTGATCATCAATAGGGTTTTCTATTTTCTATTTTGGGAAACCAAGTCCCAGCTCAGATGACAGTTTTTGCTGAGGCTAACATGAAAGAGAGAGGGACTGTTTAATTATTAGCTGCCTGAAAAGCACATCTTTTTTTTTTCCTTCAAATTAATAATTCTTCAGTTGAAAACACAAGCACGAGTGCTATCAGGTCTTCTGGGTGGACTAGGGAGGTAATTCATTTGATGTTTATTTTTTATTTTACTCTGGACAGTGTGCAGGATCTGGCTTTGTCAGCTTTGCAGACAGTTACAGCCTGCTGGCCCTGGGTGATGGATTTTAGTTAAGTGAGAATCAAAATTATATGTCATGTCATGTGAGTATATTTAATCTCCTAAGGTTTGGGGGAAACTCAGGAAGGTGTGAGGCAAGGAATCTGGTGTATAGTAGATGCTCAATGAATGCTGGGAATAATTGGATATTGGGTGGGTGAATGGCAAGCGTTGAGATTGTGCTAGGCTGCTTTCAGTTACTGTTTTCCATTTCCCCTGTGTATCTATCTGTGTTGGAGAGGAGCAATTGGGACTGCAGCAATTACACATAGGCCATGCAATACAATAGCCACTAGCCAGATGTGCCCACAGTGCACCTGGAACACGCAAGTCTGAACTGACATGTGCAGTAACTAAAAAGCACCCTGGATTTTGAAGACTTAGTGTGAATGCAGAAACTGTAATAATGCTTACTTTGGATTAATGTTGAGTAGTGCTATTATTGATACTAGGTTTACATTAAATACACTAATCTTTCACCTGTATCTTCCTTTTAAAACATATTTTCCTGTTTTTTTAAATTTGACCAACAGAAAAGTTAAAATTACCTATGTAGTTCCCATTATATTTGTATCAGTCAGCGTTGGTCTGGACTTGAGAGAGAGAAATCAGGCAATGAAACATCTTTGCTTTTAAATGGGAAAAAGTTCTTCACGCCCTTCCCGTGTTACAATCTTTGCAAGAGGTACAAAAATGAACAGTTACACCCCCACCCCCGCCACAAACACATCTGGGCTGCATGGGGCCTGTCCGGGGACCGGGCGGTGAGGAGAGGCGACTGCTGGCTTTGGAACGCCTCTTCCAACCGCAAGACCCTCCAGGACTGCATCTCGGGAGGGGCCAGGACACTTGGGGCCCCCTTCCCTGCACCGTGGGAGAAGGGTAGGCCCGGACAGGCGGGGAGCGAACTGGTTCTGGAAATCCTAGCGTTCCCCGCACGGCTCTGCCCGGGAGCCCGGAAAACACCCCGGCTTTCCCAGCCTCACGATTTTCCCCCAGGGCCCGGGACGTCGCTCTAAAGGGAGCTTGAGGTCTGAAAACCCGAGCGCACAGCGCGCCCGGGGTCGCCCTCACACACAAGGGCGATGCCTCCTCCCGCCGGCGCCGAGCTCCCCGGGGGCCCGCTTTGGTCCCGGCGGCTGGGTTTGTTCACAGCCACCGAGCTTTGTTAGCCAGCGTCGCGCAAAGGGGAAGGGGCAGGGGAAGAAATCGCCCCTTTCTGGGCCGATGCAGTTTCCCCTCTCCGCCTCTCGCTCTGTAGGTTCCCACTAGGGCCTAGCAAAGATTGGGCAGCCGGACTCCCCGAGGTAAGCGCCTTCGCCTCTCTCCTCCCCGGCGCGCGTGGCTCCCAGAAAGGCTAGCACGAGCGGCGCAAGTGAAAAGGGGATCGTGAGGGCCGTCCGCCCCCGCCCGTGTTTTTCCGCCGGGGAGCAGGGCCGGGGGAGGGAGCCTGCGCCACGGGGGCGCAGAATGAGAATGGAGGACAGCTCCCCTTCCCCTTTCCTCTTGCCACGCCTCCAGAGCTTTGGGAGCTGTTTAAGGCTAAGTTCTTGGGGGAGGGTATGCAGTGCCCTGGCTCAAAGGCCACCCGAGGAGGTTTTCACTGTCCTGGCTCTTAAAGAGACATTCATTAATCTCTTGACTTATGTGGCAGAAGTTAGTCCCCGCCCCAGAATAAAGCTGAAATCCAGCCCCCAAGGCTGGGTGCAAATCTGTCTCTCTGGGTAGCAACGGCCTAAGCCTGGGTGTACACTCATCCAGCCCTCAATAGCTACGCAGCCTTGAGGGTATTAGGGGCTTTCCACTCACTGAATAGGAAATAAACTGACACTGGGAAGAGGTGGCATGGGTGGTGTGGCCCCCTCACCCCAGCACCTCTTCACCCAGTCTCCTCCATCTTCTTTAGCCCTGAGATGACTCTGCTGGGGTAAGGGATAGAGAATGACTTCTGGAAAGTCTGTTATCTCCCCTCTGTCACCATCTGCTCCTGGGTCTTCAGTTCTTACCATTAAACACACACACACACAAATGCACACTTCAGACTCCAGGGCAAAGTGTTCATTAACATGCTTACTTGCCAAGATCTTATTTTAAAGCCCTCAACCCTCATCCTTCCCCTTTTTCCTCCTCATCTATGTACCAGTTTCCAGTTCATCTGTATGGAATAGGACGCTTCCACTTCCTGGAGCACCACAGTTTGCAGCCTAATTGATTCTGGTAATTAATTTGTTCTACCTGCTAGATCAGATGGAAATCCTACCCGCACACCCAAGGATTAGCACTTGGCTTTCTAACACCTCCCCTAATTATCTAATAGCATGGGTTGTGAGGACTCAGTCTCTATTAAAACACTTTTACTATTAGCAGTAGTGATTGGAATTGTGATGATGACTAGATTTCAGCAAATTAGAGCTTAAAAATGGGGAGATGGAAGAGAAGTGGCTTCTTTTAATTTCCCTGAGTTTAACATCAATAATTAGAGCAATTTTCGGAGATGCGAGCCGAAATTACCCCTGCTGTGTTGTGGATGATCACCTTAATTTTAACAAATTGACTCCAGGGAAATAAATATGACAGATTAGAAAAAAGACAAACAGAAAAACAAAAGATTGGGAGGGAGGAAAATGAAAGGAAAGAGCTTGGGAAAAGGAACCAGAGACAAACACGTAGTACAGTTATTTTGGGAGGCTCGGATTGAAAGGAAAAATATAGCAGAGATGCAAGCTGTGTGAGTGAGACGAGGTGGAAGTTTGAGGGGATTCAGGGGAGAGAAGTAAGAGATAGCTCTGGACACGTTGACACATAGATCAAACCACTTGAGTAATGTAGATAGATACAATCCCATCCCACCCATTTCCTCTAAGTGAGGTGACACCCTGAGATTGTCATTGTCATTTTCTTTATTTACCCTTCGGGGCATCCCTCAGTCATCAACTTCAACTGAGTCCAGCAACTTAAAAGTAGTGGGTGCTCTTTCTCCTCACTTCTCCTCCTTTCCCTCTGCCATCAGTGAGTGAAACTCTTAAAACACTGGCCCAAATCTAAATAAATGCTTATCCCCTGCGCTTTGGAGCCCCTTTTAGCGCTGTCTCTCTGAAGAGGAGTTTTCCGGGCAACAGGGATTTTTTCTTTTTATCTTTCTTTAAAAAATGACTGGGAACAAAGTAGCTCTTGCCGTGGCGGGGCAGAATTTGCTGTCGGGAAACCTGGCCGGAACAAGAATCCAGTCGGCTCGGCTCTCCCCAGGCTTGGCCAGGAGCATTCAGCACCGCGGACAGCGCCCCGCCCCGCCCCGAGCCCGCCGCACCCTCCCTTCTGCCTCTGGCAGCCTCGCCATTGGCTCTCCCGACTCCCCTCTCCAAGCTGCCAATTCTCCAACACATAAACCCAACCTACCCAGGAGCTTGTCTTCTCGCTTCTGCAGCGCCCAGGGTAGCCCAGGCCGAGGAGGGATCAGCGGAGATCCGAGCCTCGGGCCTCGGAGAGTGGCTGTCCGCTTGCTTCCACATTTCGTCCGCAGCCCTCGTCCTGTGGCAGGCGCTCGGCTCAGAGATGAATCTCAACTTCACCTCTCCTCTCCACCCTGCGTCTTCTCAGAGGCCCACATCCTTCTTCATCGAGGACATCTTGCTGCACAAGCCCAAGCCGCTGAGGGAGGTGGCCCCCGACCATTTCGCCAGTTCTCTGGCCTCCCGGGTGCCTCTGCTAGACTATGGCTACCCCCTCATGCCCACCCCTACCCTTCTGGCTCCTCACGCCCATCACCCCCTGCATAAGGGAGACCACCACCACCCCTATTTCCTGACCACCTCGGGTAAGTTAACAGGGTCCTCAAGATTCGGGGAGCGAGAGTGTAAGTTTTCTAACAGATCTTTTATCACAGAGCCTAAGCCTATGAAAGAGCCAAGAAAATGCCAGAGCTGGCTTACGCTGGCAGGGCAGCCTGCTTCCCTAAGTGACAGAGGAAGGCTGGGGATGGGGCTTAGAGCCCATGGAGCTCCCTTGAGGGATGTCAGCCCATGGGGGTAATTCGTGCTCATTCCATATTTTTAATAACAGAGGAGACAAACAGGGCCCAGAGGCAGCTGAGGATGAATGGGTTTGTTAATACACTTGGTGGTCGATGCTCAGTTCTTCTCATGAGCAATTTTCTGGCCTACTTTGGTCCCTCTCCCCTCTCAGAGGGAGACTCAACTTTCCAGATTTGAAGATGAAATTTCTGCCACTGGGCAGCTGTCTTCTTCCCTTTGCTGAATGTTGGCAGATCCTACGGAGGGCATAGAAGTGAAGGAGAGTTTGTGATGCTTGGAGGACAAACGCTTTGGGTTGTCCTGAATAAGAGGAGAAAGGGTAAGATAAAGGAAGGGATGCAATGGAGGCAGCCCTTTAACCACCTTCACACCCACACACCTGGCATTTAACTCACACTCTTGGGCTGGGCTACCTTTCTCTGCCCCAGTTGCTGGAGTTGCTGGAGAAAGATGCTAAAGTGTTTTGATTTCTGCAGCCCGGTGAGGAGCAGGATCTTGTGAAGTCTGGTGGGGCCAGGGAGATGCAAGAAAATGCCATTTCCCCCCTCTCTCTCCAAGAGGCCACATCCATGCTTTCTTCTCCAGTGTTTCCATTCAGGTCAGAGTGTTAAGAACAGCAATGAAAACAACTATGGTTTGGGCAGGTGTTGGGGGAAGACAGGAGGCAGTTGGTGAGGTATGGGCACTAAAGTCCCGAAAAAAAGGTACAAGTGTTTGCGGAGTGGGGACACCCAGACTCTAGGGCACTGGAGTGGAGGTTCGCAGCTGTGCATTGGATCCACCACCTGACCTCCCACAGAGCAGTGGTCAAAACCTGGGATGGGGGGACTGCTTGATTTTATTTTTCCTATGGGATTGGCCGATACTGAAGTCTGTGGCAGCTTCTGTCTGCCTGGGGCCTCTCAGATACTGAGTAAAGCTTTTCCTGGGTCAGGAAAAACAAGCAGACTCTCCACAGGGAAAGGCGCTTCAACCTGTCTCTTGCTCTTCTTGGAGTCGGAGGGAAGGAGTGAGAAAACCGAATGAGGACCAGAGGAAAGAGTGGGTCTCCCGATGGACCCTGGAAACTGACAAGTGAAGTGGGAGAGGGAACAGTCTCCTCAGCCTGGTTCTCTACCTGAATGTCTGGATAAGAGTTTTGCTCTGTTCCCTTTGGCTGCGGGCCCATGGGGGAGGTTCGGGGAAAAGGAAGGGTGTTTTCAGTGTGTCTGGGAGGTAAGATCATTTCCAGTCTCCTACAAGCCCCAGAAGGGCTCTGATTGTAGTCAGGGGCCTGGGAGTACATGGGGAAGGCTCCTGGACCGTCTGACATTTCCAAGAAAACTTCACCAGGTGCCAAGAGCCGACTTGGTGCTGGCACACCCTATGGAAGTCACTCCAAGAAATCTTTTTGTAAAGGCCTCCGGATCTACTTTCCAATTTCCTTTTAATTTTACTTACTGTTTATTTTTATTTTCGTATTTCTAGATGGCCCTCCTCCTGCTAACGATCTCCAAGCGCAATCCTCTTGGCTTTCTCCCACCCTTACCCCTGGCCCGGGATTCCTGGGAGAAGGGCTCCCAGAGGCTTTGGGATGAGCCGGAGGCTGGTGGGGGCAAGAGGCACAAGGCAGGAGCAGGGCCCAGGGGTTGTGGGCTGAGCGGGGCGCAGGTTGCTCCCTGGCGACGCTGGCCCTGCACACCCCGCCGCTCTTCTCTCCGCAGGGGTGCCGGTGCCCGCGCTGTTCCCGCACGCGCAGCACGCGGACCTGCCGGGGAAGCACTGCCGCCGCCGAAAAGCTCGCACGGTTTTCTCTGACTCGCAGCTCTCGGGCCTGGAGAAGAGGTTTGAGATCCAGCGCTACCTGTCCACGCCAGAGCGGGTGGAGCTAGCCACGGCCCTCAGCCTGTCCGAGACGCAGGTGGGCAGGAGGAGAGCGAGGCCTCGGCCTCTGCTCCACTCCTCCGTCCCCTTCGGCACGCACTGAGGAATGGGAATGACCTCCTCCCGCAGGTCCATTGTTCTAGGCTTTCGCTAGACCCTTCAGTAAAGTGCTGGTACCCCAACCTCAGGGCAGACAACCCCGGGGGCTCTGGATGGGAGGAAGCCAAGGCTCCTTGTTGGTTCTGGCGACCGCCTCCGGTTTAAACACTGTGGTTTCCAAGTCTCTCTTGGAGCCCGGGAAGAGGTAGAAAGATGGTTAGAGCGTCCGTTTCCCGAGAGAAGCGCACCCGAGGACCGTTCCCTCTTGATTTCCATCCCTCTCACAACCGCATCTTCATAGGCACCACCGCGCTCCTCAACGCCCGCATTAATCGGAGTCCCCTGCCTGTTCCCCTGTTCTGGGCGGAAGAACCGTTTTCCTCTCCCGGCCACTGCACCTGCAGTCGCGCAATTCCTCCTTCCGCGCCATCTCTTCTGCTCTCTGTCAGCCACAACGCAACTCGCTGTGAAGTCCTTAGCCCTGCCGGGCTGGGTCTGGTTTTCTCCACGACGAGAGCCAGCGGGTTCCGTTCTCACCCTCCCGTGCCGGGCCAGAAGTTTGGATGCGTCAATCAGAGGAGCCTAAATTGAGCGTGAGGGGGACTCCAGCCAGCACTTGCTATCAGCGATTCTAACGAGTGACACTTTTAGGACTTAGACAACCACTCCATTCTGGTCCCCACCTTTATTTTGGGATAAGTACTCCCGGAAGCCTTGGGGTGTTTCCTTCTCTATCAGACCTAAGGCGGCTATTTAGAGGGGTACGGGTGTGGCTTCACCCAAGGCAGCCACAGCTCTAGGATAATTCGTCGGTGCATTGCGGTGCCTTTCCCTAAACCGAGCAGTCACTGGGATCTTAGTAACTCTGGATCCCGAGGAATGACATGCTTTCTGATTTTTGTCTCCTCGCAATCAGGTGAAAACGTGGTTCCAGAACCGGCGGATGAAGCATAAAAAACAGCTGAGGAAAAGTCAAGACGAACCCAAAGCCCCGGACGGACCGGAGAGCCCCCAGGGCAGCCCTCGCGGCTCTGAGGCCGCCGCCGCCGCCGCCGCCGAGGCCCGGCTGAGCCTGCCCGCCGGCCCCTTCGTGCTGACCGAGCCAGAGGACGAGGTGGACATTGGGGACGAAGGGGAGCTCAGCTCCGGGCCGCACGTGCTGTGAGCCGCCGGGCTGGGACGGGGAGGCGTGGGAGGAGACCGCGGGGCCCCGGCGCAGTTCTCCCCTACGCGGCAAGACTCGGACTGCGGTTCGCGGCGGGGCTCGGAGTCGGCTCCTGCAAGACGCAAACCCACCGGCCGGGCCTCCAGTCCGCGCGGCCCGCCCTATCCCCGACCCGGCGAGTCGCGCCTGCGTCCGCTCCTTCTGCGCACCGCGGATCCTCCTCGTGCCGCGGCCCAAACTGGAGCCTGGGCTCGAGGGCCCCGCTCTCTCCTTCTGTGGGGGACGTTTTCCTCCGCCATAACCGCAGACCCCCGCCTCCCTCGCCTCTCAGCCGCCTGCGCCTGCCCTCGGCTCTGTTCCCCGGGTCCCGCGGGCTCTCCACTCGGACCCTCTGCCCTCGCGTGGGCAGTCGGAGGGGCTGCAGCTACCCGGCCCGGTGTCTGGGGCCTTGCGCTCTGCGCGGATCACAGCAGAGCCACAGCGTGATGCTTCGAACGTCTGGGGCCCGGACAGAGTCTCGCGCTGCTCGCCCCGCACCCCACGCCCCCAGCCTAACTCAAAGACTAAGAGAACTCCCTCCTTCTCCGGGCGGCGCTTCCATTTCCCCCGGCTCCAGCCGCTTCCCACCTAGCCGCTAGCGGATCTGCACCCCGGGCACTTTGCTGAGTTTGCGGGGGGCCTCGCGCACCGCCGCCCTGGACGCCCTGCCTCCCGCGTACTGAGCGGCGCGCGAGCTCGGCCGCAGGCTCGGGCAGCGAAACCCGCAGATGGCCATTTCTGCTTCCCGAACTTGTTGCGCTCGCATCCCGCAACTCTTCCGCGTCCCGCCGGCTACTGATATTTTTAACAGCGAGTGCTCCTCCGGGTGTTAGTGCATCGCAGGGAATGCGACGTTTCAGCCAGGTTAAGTTGTAAAGGAGAACGCTCCGAACAGCCTTAAAGGCTAGGGGTTGCGCGCGTGCCCCTGTTTGCGACTATCTAGGTGGGGCGGGGGTCTGACCGGCTGCCGTATTACCGCTCTCCTTTTTCCTTGAGAGGTCTCCTACTGGGTTTGCAGTCTCTTTAGGTAATAAAGGGCTTGCCGGGCAAAACTGGGGACGAACGCACGTTTCCGGGAATTGCTGGTCACCGTAGACTCCTACGAGCCCGTCTCCTTCCCTCCGTCCTAGGCAGTGTCCTATGCCCCGTAGGAAATGAACTTGCTAGGGACCTTTCGCTAACAGATCTCGTTCCCCCACTCCGGGTTTTGTGGTTTTAATCATTAGAATTATGGTCTTGGAAAAGGTCACCGACATTGTGTGTGTGTGTGTGTGTGTGTCCCTGACATGCTGAAGGGACAGAGATCTCTTAATATTTGCAGTTTGCAATTACGCTAACGAAGTGTGTGGCGACGCTGCATACCCAGGACACTTATCACATACAGCAATCATGCCAGAGGCGACCTCAGCTCCCCATCTTCCTTTCACTTCCGGTGGTGTATTTAGATGAGTGAGCCCAGGAAGGCTGGAAAGAGTATGCGGGGCGGAGTCCCGACCCCTGCGTGCTAATCATTGGAATCATTACACTGGTGTGAGCTTGGGTTACAAGCAGTGTTTTTAGTTCCTCATTTCTCCAATAAGGGGATAAATTCTAAAGATCCTTCTAGGTCTAAATTCCAGGATTCTGTGAGCATCCAGTCGGTTTTTTAAATTAAATAATTTTTTGGTTTTGTTTTTACAATAGGCTTGTTGGGGAAAGATTACCCGAGGCAGAGTAAAGTGTCAGAGAGCTTTACCCAGGCTGCATCGTGTAGGAGACAAAACCACTGCTTTCTAAAGCATAAGCATTGTACATTGTTTTGGGTTTTCCAAACTGCCCAATGAGCTTGTGAGTCACAATCGACAGGGATAATTTTTCCTTTTCGTGGATGAGAAAATTGAGGCTGGGCAAGATTGAAAGATTTACCCGTGGATTCAAGCTTTGCTAACAGCCCAAGGAGGATTAAATATTCCTTCTAACTCCCTGTTTACTTCTTTTTCCCATGCAGTTTTATTATTATTTTTTTTTTCTGGTAACAACGCATCAGTTGGCCTTTTGTCTCCATCACTTTAAGAACATGAGTCTCATTCCATTCTGTTGTGCAGATGTGGCTACAGACAGCAGCAAATCCCGGCTGAGATCTCTCTCCCACCTCTCTGATCCAACAATGACAGTGCCATTAAAAGGCAGGAGTTTATGGCAAATGCTTAAAAGACTTGGTTGCAGAGACCAGAAAACATGATTTGTGGATGAGAATGTTACTGGTAACCTGAAAGGGAAGGTAGATATTATGACACGAGATCAGGGAGCTAAGCGGGAAACCTCAAGTTCTTCTGGTGCCAGGAAGAAAAACAAAAACAAAAACAACTATTAAGCGGGATTTGGGGAAAATCTTAAAATGAGTAGAAATATTGTGTATCTGGGGAAGAGTGTGTGTGTGTGTGTGTGTGTGTGTACACAAACCCCAAAGCACCAGGCATTTCTGTCTTCCCCTGCCTTCACAAGACGCCAGGGCTTACTCCGGGTCTAGGAGGAGCAGATTAGGTGCATCCCATATCCTTTTGTCAGGAAAAAGCAGGTGAATGGGAAACACTGTTGGCTTATGCACAGCTGTGCCTGGACCTAAGCTTGATGAGTATTAAACATGGGAAGGTGCTCATCCCCTCTCATCCTGGTCCTCCCTTTGTGGCCATTCCCGGCTGGACTCAGTGAGGAGGGAAGAGCTCAGAACCATGAAGCAGCCACACTGACTGTGGCACAGTTTTCTGGTCAAAAAACTCCCTTACATTGGTGGCAAACAATCCAACAGCAGGGTTTACCTTGCTGCTGCTTTTTTTTTTTAATACAGGGAATTAAATATAAAGGTATGAACAGACACAATTTGGTCTCAATTTAATGTAACATGATGGCAGTTTTTGGTTTTGGCCTTCAATACTGACCACAGCTTCCATAGGCTGAAAAGATGTTATTTTCTGAATTACTCAGGCTTTTGCCTCAACTTACTTTCTCTTTGTGGTAAAGACTTGATCAAACTGTGTCCATTATGATATATTAAAGGCACACATAGGTCTGATTGTGAAGGGATAAAACATTTTTTTAAGATTTATTTATTTATTTGGAAGGTGGAGTTAGAGAAAGAGAGAGAGAGAGAGAGAGATCTTCCAACTGCTGGTGTACTCCCCAAATGGCCACAAATGCTGGAGCTGGGCCAGTCTGAAGTCAGGAGCCAGGAGCTTCTTCTGGGCCTTGCACACAGGTGCAGGGGCCAGCACTTGAGCCATCTTCCATTGCTTTCCCAGGCCATTAGCAGGGAGCTGGATCAGAAGAGGAGCAGCCGGGACTTGAACTAGTGTGCATATGGTTTGATGGGATGCTGGCACCACAGGTGGCAGCTTTACCCACTATGACACAGTGCCGTCCCCTTTTATTTATTTACTTTAAAAGATTTACTTATTTAGGGATAAAAATTTTAAAATAGCCTAGATGAGCAAGTGATCCCACATCTAATTCCAGTGGAATCAACAACTTGTTCCACATTTGTCCTAATGTTTTGTTTCTGATGGAATGCTTCATAGTTTCTCAGAAAGACACGATAATATTTCTGCTCAGGTGACACAGAAGATAAGAAATTGAAAATACACCACCCAACTCAGTATTAGCTAATAGTGGCACAAAGAAAGGTCTAACTGGAATCCCTGACACCACTTCTAAAGACAGAGTACTGGTTCTTGCAATGTATTTGACAGGAAGGGGCAAACAGGAAGGCACCAAGCAAGCCACATGCTTTCTGAGCTGAGAATGGTGCAATACACATGTTTAGTTGCAGCTTGGCTCCCTGGTTTTCCTAAATTTGGCTCAGTATATGTGCAAAAAGATAAGCTAATTGGAATATTGTATATGTTAGGTTCTTGACATCACATTTTGAAAATGACAAACTTAACATTCATCCAGTATGCAGGAACCTGGATAGCAAAGGGGATGCAAAACAACAAGTCGAGGAGTGTGAGCTTTTGAACTTGGAGGAGGAAAGTTGGTGGGGGGGTAGTAATGGGTGAGGAAGTTAGCTGTGGTAATTGGGTTTGTATGGTTGCAGGGCTGCTAAGGATAAGGAGACCTATGCTGTATGCTAAAGGTGTCAGAACCAGAACCAGTGATTGTGTCTAGGGAAGGAGATTTTGGACATTTGAGTGCCTCTAATAGACCAGACACTGTGAACAGGCTAAGTCTACAAAGCACTAAGCCCTTTTTCAGTAAAGAAGTTAAAGCAGGGACTGGTGGTGTGGCACAGCAGGTTAAGCTGCCACCTGAAACACCAGCAGCCCAAATGGGCACTGATTCAAGTCCCAGCTGTACCACTTCTCTGTCTCTCCCTCTGAAACTCTGCCTTTCAAATAAATAAAGTCTTTTTTTTTTTAATTAAAGAAAAGTTAAAGCACAGGCTAGAAGATAAAGTATAAAGGGTTCTCTATTAGAGAAATCTCCATTATTGGGAGGTTGGGTCAGATATCCTGAATGGTCCTCTCTATTAGATAGGAGTATTCTATCTTTTTAAAATTTTAATAAAAAGGAACTGTAAGTTTGAAATTATTAAAATCATCATCTCACTAAGACTTCAGCTCATATACACTAATTTAATACCATATACACTAATTTAATACAGCTGTAGCAATTAGAAGAATTAAGAGTGAAATGGATTTTTTATTCCTTAAAGTTTTGACACCTAATTCTAGAAAGTAAATGAGAGCAAAGTGATGTTCCATGAATTTAAAGACAAAGAACAGTCAGGAAAAATTGTCAGTGTCAGAAGAGACATTTAACAAAATCTAAGGTCTTCATTGTGTAAATTAAAGAAATAAGGGCCAGACATAATAAGTACCTTGCCAAAAACAATGGCAGAACCCAGACAAGAAGCCCATTTTAATGATCTTATTGTTATGAATAATTTGTTATGCTAAAATTAATGGCGGGGCTATTGTCATTGTGACATGTGGAGGAGAAGGTCTTCATAGCCAGTAACTCCATCCTGGTCTTCCACATAAATAACAGGGGTCCAAGCCTCCCTTCCCAGACCTTTTAGCAGGAAGCTAGATTAGATATGGAGTAGTTGGGGGCTGGCAGTGTGGCACAGTGGGTTAACACCCTGGCCTGAAGCGCCAGCATTCCATATGGGCGCCGGTTCGAGACCCGGCTGCTCCTCTTCCGATCCAGCTCTCTGCTGTGGCCTGGGAAGGCAGTGGAAGATGGCTCAAGTGCCTGGGCCCCTGCACCCGCATGGAAGACCCAGGAGAAGGTCCAGGCTCCTGGCTTCAGATCAGCTGGCCGTTGTGGCCAATTGGGGAGTGAACCATTAGACAGAAGACCTCTCTCTCTCCCTCTCTCTCTCCCTCTCTCTCTCTCTCTCTCTCTGCCTCTCCTCTCTCTGTGTAACTCTTTCAAATAAATATTTTTTTTTTAAAGATATGGAGTAGTTGGGACTTGAACCAGCACTGATATAGAATGACAGTGTTACAAGTGAAATTTTAACCCGCTGTGCCACAACGCCAGTCCGTCTAGTAAAGTCTTAGATCCACTTTAGAGAAAACTTCTGATTAAGAGCCATCTGAAATTCAAATGGGCTTTCCTGGGAGGTACAGAGTCCCTTAACCCTGTCTTCATTTGAGCCAGGGTTGAATAACCACTTGCTGGGATGTTTATGAAGATATTCCTATAACCAACAGGATTTGAAAGGCAGAGTTATGAAGAAAGAGGGAGATACACACACACACACACACACACACAGAGACAGAGAGAGAAGAGAGAGAGAGAGAGAGAGAGAGAGAGAGAGAGAGCTCTTCCATCCCCTGGTTCACTTCCCAAATGGCTGCAGTTGCTGGAGCTGAGACAGGCCAAAGCCAGGAGCCTGGAACTCCATTTGGGTGTCCCAAATGAGTGGCAATGGCCAAAGCACTTGGTCCATGGTCTGAAGCTTTCTCAAGTACTTTGGCAGGGAGCTGGATTGGAAGTGGACCAGCAATCACAGGGGACACCAGCACCACAGGCGGTGGCTTAACCTGTACTGCCACAACGGTAGCCTTGTTTCCCATATTTTCCTTCTTGGTTTACTCCCACATTTTAGTGGCACACATTCCACTATAGTATCCTGAGATGTAGATGTTTGAGATCATCCTTGTCTAAAATCATCTTTATTTTGGTCTCATGCTTTATTAGTATTTTGGTTAAGTATAGAACTCTAAGTTGGAAATAATTTTTGAATATTTTTGAATATATCAGTTTTTCATCTTGAAACTACCACTCTGAAGTCTGAAGTTACTTTAATTCTTGATTCTTAATGTTTACTGATTTATCTATTTTACTTTTTTGAAAGCTAGTATGATTCTCTTTGTAGCCAGTTTACTGAAATTTTACAATTATGTGCCCCCTTTTTTTTTTGGTGATTCAAAAGGCTCTTTTAGTCTGAAAATTCATTTTGTTCAGTTATGGATGGCCTTCATAAAATTCTTTAACTTCAGTCCCTCTTTTTCATATTTGTTCTTAATGCAACTTTATATTATTTGGATTCTTATCTCCTACATTTATCCTGTAAATTTCTTATCTTTTTTCTCCTATTTTCTGTTCCTTTATCTTTTTACTCTGACTTCTAGGAAAATCCTTTGATGTTATTGTCTAACTTTACTTTTGATTTTTAATTTCTGCTACCATATTTCTATTTCCAAAGGTTTCATTTCATTTCCTTATCCCCTTTCTTCTTTTTCAAGGTATCCTGTGTAAAGCTCTTAGATTTTTGGAGATCCTTGGTTGTCTACTCATTTGTAAGCATGAAAAACTAACCAAGCTAATAGGGAACTCAGGGCACGTGAGCAGAACTTGTTGGTTGTGAACTGTACTGTGGGACACCATGGTTGAGTTCTTTAGTTGAATGGCCTCGGAGGTCAGGATTTTTAGGTATTTTCATTAGGCTGGTTAGATGCCCCAGAGAAGATTTTTCCAAACTCCTGATTTTAGGAGGCAGATGGAAGAGGCTCAGAGGTCTCCATATTTTAAATACACATTTAAAGTCCCTGTGACGCAGCCAGTTAGCCCTCACTAGCTGACACCATTCCATCCTCTCTACTGGGGCAGTGGAAGGGCAGAGCTTGGCTGCCTAGAAACTGGGGGGTGGACCTGCAGGTCTACCTATTCTTAAACTGACTTCCATCCAGTTGTCTCATTCCCATTCACCCTACTTCCAGAGGTAACTGATGCCATCCATTCCTGAGCGCTTTCGGTATCTTATAGAGTAAGTCGGATAGACTCTTGGCTTTCCTCTTGGCGAATTTGGTACTTTTGGAGTCTTTCAATTTTTTTAAGCAATTCATTTATCTGCTTTCCGGTTTTCAAAATTTTGTTACAATGGCCATTTCTCCTATTCTCCCTTACATGTTTATACCTTTTAAAAATGCTTAATTGTGATTTCTGTGGGTCTTGTTACAGGAGTGAAATAGATGTGTTCGTCTACCCTATTTGTCCAGGAGTCCTGTAATTTGAATTTAATGTGATTTAATGCTGATCTTTCACCTTGATCTTTCTTTTCTGTAGCTGAATTTGTTGAGGTACAGGAGAATTGCATTGTCAATAGAACAGATGAAACACAGGGAACGCGGGGAAAGGCCTTGCTGTC